GAATAGCAGAGATTAATAAAACACTCAAAGCTTTAAGGAATTCTGGGGTGGCAGTCCCTATGGTATCCCTGTTTAATTTATAACATTGGCCACTGCAACAATTAAAAACTAAGAAAGTAAGGTCACAGCCACTGATTGTGAGCTCTCATAAACTTAGCCAAGTAATAACTTTGATCGTAGCTTATGGTAGATATGGTATCTTGAATAAAATAAGACAAGACAAGCTCTGGTATGCGGCATGTAGCAATTGTGTTTGAAAAGCAGGTACTGAACAGCCAAGAAGGTAGATGACTCATCCAGTGAAAATGAGCTCATCTCTGCTCAGCTACCCAGAGCATGTACAATTGGCCCATAAACCAAAAAAAGCCATGACGGCAGGAACAGAAGCCACATGTGGCCTAACAGCCTAAGCTCCCTGTCACCAAGGCTGACCCAGGTGTTACTATGGGAATCTGTCAGAGCAGAGACTGACTTCAGCTCTTGACTTGGTACCATTGCTCAAAAAGAGCATGACCCCACATGGTGCAGGACTGACTACATTTGACCCAGGCACCCTGAAAGTCCATGGCTCTTCCATGGCTTCTGTGACTATACACCACATCGACCATAAGCTGAGAATATGAAAATAACCACTTGAAGACATCGATTTGAAAATGGGATGGAGGTGCTGTGTTATACACTTTGAATGGGTTTATACACTTTGAGCCGATAGTATTATATGTGTTCTGTGTCCCTGACAGGCAGAATACATAGGTCTAGGTAGCCCCTCTCACTTGTACTCCTGATGACCTGCTGGTAAATTTATACTTCCTGTTTCCAAAGCTCTTGGCTCTGGTAGACTAAAGATCCTACTTTCCAGAGGGTAGAAAAAGAACAATCTACTGGAAGGTTTAGTAACGGTTTTATTAACCCTAAAATTACATCTGTCCCCTGGCAACTTTGAGGTCCTCATGCCAGTAGAGCAGCAGGCAAAAGGAGCCCTGTGCTGGCAGGGGAAGTGGAGCATGTCCAGCATGGATGGAGGAGGAGAGGAAGAGTAGGAGGGCCCTAAGAACCAACCATATCAGTTGTATCTTGGATTTGTTCCACTCCCCCATCTCTTGTCATCTTCTTACTCTCCTCTTCTTCTTCCTCTTCCATCTCTTATTTCTTCTTCTTTTAGTAATCTGTGACTGGCCACCATCTTGGAGAAGCAATGACGAATCGCGAACTTACAGTTTTTTGTTTTTTTTGTTTTTTTGGGTTTTTTTGGCGGAACCAGGGATTGAACTCAGATCCTTGCATTTGCCAGGCAAGCGCTTATCCTACTGAGCCATCTCCCCGGCCCACGAACTTACAGTTTTGTCAAGCGTATCTGCACAAATGCAAGCGGAACTGTGACACACGCTTTCACTGCCCTGCTCTCACCCCTCAAACCTGGTGGTGTGCTCCCAGGACATCCAAGTGCCAGCATCTGCACCCTGGCTGAGGGCTGTTTTCACCAGAACTACAGAGAGCTGACCATACACATCACTGTTCATCAGAACCAAGGAACTGTCACCACTGGGAAGCAGCCTCAGCACTCCAAGATGGTGCCTAAATGCCCCCCTCCCTGCTCTTTAGATTAGGGGCCAGAGAAAGGCAAAAGTGGATGGTGGCTCAGGGTGGGGGAGACTATAGAGCTTACAGTATTGTATTGTTTTATTTTATTTTGTTTTATTTTATTTTATTTTATTGGTACTAGGGATTGAACTCAGGATCTTACACTTGTCAGGCAGGCTGTTATGCCTCTGAGCCATCTCCCTAGCCCTAGAGTCTTGTTTTAGAAATATCTCAAACATGTTTGTAAGGTGAGGTAAAACAGTTATGAAGCAAGAGACAAAATTTCAGAGTCAAGAGGGGAATAATTGAAGGAGTCAAGTCTTAAAGGAGGACAATGGAGCTTAGGCCAGGACCCAGGTGGAAGAACTACTTTGAACAAAAGATGTGCTTCATCCTGCAAGGCCAGAGGAAGGCAGTTAGGATGAATAAAGACAAAAATGCATTTACTTTATCTGTTTGCTCCATGTATACCCTCCTTTATTTCACAGAGGTCCTGCAGTATTTCTATAGATGTATTGCTAGGTTTGAACAGATCGGAAATGGAGAAGTCCCCATTGAGGGGCTCCATGTCCTTTGTGGAGTAGGCAGCAAGGTCCCCAGGGACAAGCAGCAGGGGTATCTTCATGAGTCAGGGCGGTGAGGCAAGATCTGGGATGGTAGAGGGGGACTGAGCCAAGCAGCACCACTGGACCATTTATTCAGTCTCTGGGATGGAGCTGGCAGCCAGATTTGGTCATCATCCAGGCTGCACAGATGTAGAACCTTCTGCTCCAGCCTGGGTGAGGAAGTCGGTGCTGCTCACGTGTACTGGCTTTTGACAGATCACTTCCCTGCTCTAAATAGCAGTATCCATTAGTAAATGGAAAGAAAAATGTCAAGTCTAAGGGGCTGTTGTGAACAGTCAATAAAATAAAGGCTTTAAGTACCTACTACAGTGCCTGCCCCATAAGAGGTACTCAATATTCACTCTCCTCCTCTTCTTCCTGCTCCTCCTCCTGCTCCTCCTCACCCAAGTTGGCCTGAGCCAGTGTCACCTGGACAGAAAGGCATGGGAACGTTGGGGCCTTGTACTGATGGATGCCATTACACGCTACTATTTTAAATATAGTTGACTCGCATTACTCATGGTAGTTATAGTCTACAAAGTTACTGCAAAGACTGAATTAGCAAATCCTGAGTCACGATCCCAAGAGGAAAAGCAGGGACAGTTTCCTGCAAGCCCCACATTTGCATCAGTCAATAAATACATGACTAGTTTCTGTGGGTTTCTGCTGGAAGACACTTCATTGAATGTAACTATCTGTCTCTCAGTATTCTTGGGGATCCTGGTGCACCTCAAAATCCTCAGATGCCAAAATCTTCTATATAAAATGGCACAGTAATAGCACAGAATCTGCATCCTATCGTAGATGTTAACTCATTGTAGATTTCTTATAACATCTAACACAATGTAAACATTATGTAAATAGTTGTTATACTGAAATATCTAGGAAATAACAAGAAAAAAGTCTGTTCTTCAGTACAAAGGCAATTTTTTTCAAATATTTGCAATATACAGTTGGTTGAATCCACAGCAGAAGTAGACCATCTGTATATTGTTGATTCATTAACATTAAACTCACAACTTCCAGTGCACATGTACTGAACAAAGTTTATCAAATACGCACATTTTCTCCCTAAGGTCTTCTTGCACTTAGGAACCCTAGCCAGTGTCTCACTCACCACTAAGATGGTAGCTATTTAAAATAGCAAAATATCCAGGAAAAAAAAAAAAACACAATGATGAGGGGGAAAACTGTGATACTACACAGGCCCACAGAAGGATTTTTATTTGCTACAAAAGCTGAAATAAGAAAGCAGCATGGCTCCTTGCTCAGCCTTAGGAAAGGGATCAGTGAGCCACTCAAGTTTCACTTCTCCATTCATATATACGTAACCCACTAATAATTGCAAAAGTGCCTCAAGTATTGATTTGAAGCTTATAAATAAATTTTAAGAGTAAATGAATTTAGGTTGGGGAGAGCTGCATAGCAAGACCTTGTACCAAATAAATAAATAAAGGATTTTTTAAAAAATTAAAAAGAGGGGCTGGAGAGATGGCTCAGTGGTCTAAAGCACCTACTTAGAACAAGCTTGGCAAGGCATCAGGGATCACGGTTCAATCCCCCAGCACCACAAGCCAGCCAGCCCTGCCCCCTGGTGGGCTGAGCTGGCCACACACACACACACCTCTCTCTCTCTCTCTCTCTCTCTCTCTCTCTCTCTCTCAAATAAATTTAAAAAAAAATTAAAAAGAGTGGGTGAATTTGCACATATGAAATCCACGAATCAGGTGAATCATCTGTATCTTTGTCATTATAAAATGAATAGAATAAGTGGAGCTATAGGATGTAATAGTTCCCTCATAAATTCAGTCCATAGTTGAGGATAATTAGAATTGCTATAACGTTCTGCAAAATTTTTGCTATATAATTAATGCCTTGCATACGTATAAGTCTGTGTGTATTCAATGTCTATGTGTCTATGCATATTTGGGTCTTCTATTTAACAATTTTTTCTTTCATTCAACAATATCTCTTGGACAATCTTTCCCTCCAAATCCCGCTGTTATTTCTTAAACTATGAATGGAAAAAGCCAACACATGCTGCAGTGTGTAAGTGTTCATTTATGCCCTTCATCCATATTAGGCTGGGGGAACCAGGTCATTCCCTGCTTGAAAACTGAGTCTTCAAGAAATTCCTTACCGTGACTCTCAATGACTTCCACTTCGCCCAAGCCCCATTTTCGCCCCATCCCAACAGAACAAGAAATAAAGACAGTCTCCCATTACTCTTCTCCCCTCCTGTTCCACTCCCCCGTACACACACACACACACACACACACACACACTCACACGCGCATGCGTTTTCCTGCAAAAAGGTTTGGTGTACAGAGGAAACCCTTGGATTGAACATCAGCCCAGGCTCTCCAAACTTCTCCCCTAAGCTCTCTTTAAGAAAGCAAAGTAGAAGGACATCAGGACTCCGTAGACAGGTTCTCCAAAGAGCTCTCAGCAAATGGCATTTCCCCAGTTTCATCCTTACAGTCTGTGCGTAAATGTATTATAAGCAGATTACACAACATATTCTTGTTTTAATACAAAACATTGTTTTCCAAAAATCTTTATAATAATGATCCAGAAAGGTGTCCTTGTTTATTCTTTGTCTTGTCAAACCAGCTGCCCACCTCCTTGCGCCCCGCCGCGGGGCCCCTAAGTGAGACCTGGCTGCGACGCACACCCTGAAGGAACAGCTGGGTTGCGCTTCCCCGCTGCAGGAAGATGGTGGGGGCGGGGCTGGGTCCCCAGTCTCAAGGTCCCGCCCCCTCCCTCCCGCTGCGGGGGTGGAGCCGCCTGGGTCCGGCCCGCGGAGGCGGGGAAGGAGCAGCGGCCGCCGGCAGCTCCGCTCCGGAGGTTCCGGGTTGAGAGGCTGCGCTGGACCCGAGCGGTGGCCACCGAGCCGGCAGGGGTAAGGGGTCGTGCCGCGCCAGGGCTTGTGGCTGGAATCGGGCAGCTGAGTGGGCTGGCACCCTTCCTCCGCTTTGCCGGATACACCGCGGTGCGGCTCGGCCTGGCTTCCCTCCACCCCAGAATTCTCCAACCCCAGCTTTGCCCCCTCCCCCATAGGCCCCCGTCCCAGGATTTTAGCACCCCAAGGCCCTGATCCCTCTCGTGGATTTCCTCCCCCAGTCACCCATCCCTTTGGACTGTCCCGTTCGTTAGGATACCCTCGCCAGGAACCCTCTTCCTCAGACTCTCTCGGCCTCTTTCCTCCAGTACCCATCACCTCCGGCTGCCCACTGCCTCGAAACCGCCCTCCCGGGCTCGCACCCTGCGTAGTCTCTGCCTTGCACCCGGAGCTCGCCTTATCCCTCTCCCGGACAGCAGCCCCTTCCTTCCTCGGTAGTTGCTGCCCGTGGCTCTGCGCCCCTCTCCGGGTACTGCCCCCGACAGCGCCGCGCGCTCCGCCATCCCCCGCCCCTCGGGGCCCCCTCCCCGGCGCCATGGCGTGCAGCCTCAAGGACGAGCTGCTGTGCTCCATCTGCCTGAGCATCTACCAGGACCCGGTGAGTCTGGGCTGCGAGCACTACTTTTGCCGCCGCTGCATCACCGAGCACTGGGTGCGGCAGGAGGCTCAGGGGGCCCGCGACTGCCCGGAGTGCCGGCGCACGTTCGCCGAGCCCGCGCTGGCGCCCAGCCTCAAGCTGGCCAACATCGTGGAGCGCTACAGCGCCTTCCCGCTGGACGCCATCCTCAATGCGCGCCGTGCTGCGAGACCCTGCCAGGCACACGACAAGGTCAAGCTCTTCTGCCTCACAGACCGAGCGCTGCTCTGCTTCTTCTGCGACGAGCCTGCGCTGCACGAGCAGCACCAGGTCACCGGCATAGACGATGCCTTCGAGGAGTTGCAGGTGCGCTGGCCGCCGGGGCGGGGGCGGGGCGCGGGGGGCGGGCCCAGGCGGGGTGGGGTGGGGTCAATGCTGGACAGCGGACGGGGCCCAGTCAAAATTGTCATGGGGCGGGGCCTCCGTCAGGGTCAGACCCTATCAGATTTAACATGGGATGGGGCGGGGCCGCAGCGAAGGGGCGGGTCTGGCGCAGAACCTTGGCCAGTCTGCTGCAAGCCGTGTCTGGGTCTGATTTGGAGTCCAGGGAGCTGGTGCCTGTTTGGAGAAAGGTCAAAGGTGGAATGGAAAGGTCCAGGCAGAAGAGATCAAACTTGAACCTGGTACTGGTATGAGGCATGGTTGGGGGGCGGAGCCGAATCCAAGCTGGTTAAAGGCGGGGCCATGAGGAGGGGTGTGCATTCAACCCCGCAGCTGATCTCTGGCGGGCTTGCAGACAGGGTAGGGCGGGGCTTTGATCTGGTTTGCCTTCAGACTTGGGGGAGTGAGTAGCAACATTGTGCTGGGCACGTGAGGATTAAACCTAAGAGAGGAATGGAAGCCAGGGCCTGGAAGCAGCTGAGAGGGTAGATTTGGTGGCAAACGGTAAAAGGAGGAGTGTGAGAGATTGAGACTGGAACACCGTCTGGATAGTGTAAGAACCATTTGGAATTTAAAGCATGGTAGGGGCCCATTAAAAGTGGGAATAGGGTTTGAGTATTCGGGATTTGGAGAATAAGCCCCAGAGGTGACTTATGGTAGTAATGGGATGGAACTCTGCAGATTTCCAGGAGTTTTTGATGACCTTTTTGGCTCCGTCAACTGCATCTGGATCTTTGAGGACTCAGTGAAACAGTCCTCGGAGCACAGTCAGCCTAGGACTGAAGTTGGTTTCCCTTACGCCTTCCCATCTTCATTGACAAATTCTAACACATTCTCGAGGCCCTGTTCAAATCAAATATCCTCCCTGAAAAGCCCTATAAGATCCACTAGCTAAGAGGAAAAAAAAAAAGGAAAGAACGACCATGTTTTCCCAAATGCCATCTCTTAATGAGTATATTTTTAAGAAGTGTTCCAAGATCGGCTGTATTTGGAGAAAGTAGTATATACTCTCTACACGCCCCCAAGGATTCTTAGTATGTATTTGCATACTAAAGGCTTGGAGAAATCTTATAGTAAAGAGACCTATTTTACCGTGTTTAATAAAATGATTCCCAAGCTTATATCGCTAACCCATCTCAATCGAGCAGTTCCACGTCCATGGTCTTGGGATTCCAATCCAGCACAGTTCCTTAAGGGCAGGGATAGCCTGGCACAAGGCCTAGCTTGCAGTCCACACCAGTGGAAGTTGGATGAACGAATGACCAATCCTGGCATGAGCTGGCCAAGACTGTGGAGCATTTAGAAGCAAAATTTTTTTGGCTCAGACATTTTATTAAAATAGAGCAGACCCAGGCGGTGAGACCCCTCAGCGGACTAAGTGCCTGCCTCGGCAAGCACAGGGACCAGGGTTCGGATCCCGGTACTGTACTCTGCGCTGGCCCGGCCCCCGGGCCCACTGAACTGCAACAGAGTCCGGTGGGCGTGCTAGAGCACTCCTGTAATCCCAGCGCTGGGGATGCTGAAAACAGGAGGATCACTATGAGTCCGAGCTGTGTAGTCCCTGTATAAGATACATAAAAAAATAGAGCAGACTAACTTGGGAACTAATTAGCTCCCCAAGCCTCAGTATACTTAATCAGAGCTGAATAACTACTTTCCCCATACTGCCACTCATCTGTGTCATACATGAATGTCTCTTTCTCTCAGCTTTTTAGCCTGTATCTAGAGAGATGCCCATGGAGATAACCACTGCCCCCCAAAAGTGGCCCATGTTCATCATTGCCATCTCTCAGTTTCTTTTGTCCCAAAACACAACTGACCTCTTCCAGTCTGTCTTCCTGAGGATGAAGGTCCCATGGCAAGGTGTACAATGATCAGGGGCTCTGGGAGCTTGTACAAGGCCAGCATTGGCCCTCCACCCCAAAGCCCTCTGGGTTAGGGGCTAGAGTCACCATCTCCCCACCTGTGAAGTCACATAAACAGGGAGGAGGAAGGGACCTTTGGAAGGACTGAGCACGGGAGTGAGAGCTTGAAGGGACTGGAAGACCCTTTGTCCCACCCCTTTGTTCTACAGATAAGGACACTGAGGTCTGGAGAGGTGCTGTGGCTAATCCATGGCTGTACTGACAGGCGGGAGAGACCAGGGATAGCGAACACAGTCTGGCCTGGGCCAGATTCTGCCCCTGCTGGGCACCCCTCTGGCACACCTCTTCCCCTCCTAGTCTGACTTTGTAGCCTCTGTTTCGTAGTTTTGGTACTCCTGTCTTTTTGGGTTTTCCTGAAGATCCAAATTATGGTGATTTGGGGATTTTATACTCCATTCCATGGCCTGGACAATGCAAGAGAAAAAAGTGAACATATGTTTTCCCCAAATTTCTTTAAAACACTTTCATTCTTGGATGAAATGTAAAACAAGGCTACCTCTCTGTCTAGCACACGTCTTGGGATCAGACACCCTGGGCTCCTAGACCTGCCTTATGTACTGTCTCCTTGATGTGGGGTCTATGAAGTATGATGAGAGCAATTCCTTCTTACCTGGAGGCACCTGCTCTTTGAGGTGTGTGATACATGGCAGGGACAGGAACAGCACACATTGCCATCTTTTCTCCTCCTAGCTCTGAGAGCTCACATGCCCAACTAGGTGAACACCCAGCACCACCTCTTGGGAATCCCTTTGGCATTGGCCAGACAGTAACAGAAAAACCTGCCTCCTCCCCCTGCATAAAAATATGCTCCTGGGAAAGGTTCAAGATACCCTCTACCTCACCTGCTTCTGCCTTCTAATAGAAAAGTGGTCTCATTACCTTTTTTTTTTTTTTTGGTGGAACCGGGGATTGAACTCAGGTCCTTGTGCTTGCCAGGGAAGCACTTATTCCACTGAGCCATCTCCCCGGCCCCATCTCCTTAGCTATTTATGTAGCACTGAAATGAGGCTGTGCTCACGCTCCCCACCTCCTCCGTTCCCCCACAGCTGGCAGCTCCTGGAACCTGAGCCAGGGCTCCTCTCTTGAAGAATGATAGACTCCGGCTGGTGAGATGGCTCAGTGGTCTAAAGCACCTACTTAGAACAAGTTTAGCAAAGCATAGGGACCGCAATTCAATCCCCCAGCACCACATGCCAGCCAGCCCCACCCCCTGGTGGGCTGAGCTGGCCACACACACACAAAAATAAATAAATAAAATTTAAAAAAAAAGAATGATAGACTCAGATCTGGCAGAGCCATGGAGATCATCTGCTCACTTGACAGATGGGGAGATGGTAGAGAGGAAGGATGGAGATGGGCCCAAGCCCTTGAATCCAGAGGAAGCAAGGCCTGCACTCAGCCAAAGTCTCCAGATACCCTTCCTAGCTCCTTGGCCTGGAGCTTTGACATTTATGCTACATCCTGGGGGCAGCGGAGTGAAATGTTCCGGCTTTGTGCTCTGGCAGTGCCATCCATCCTAACCAGACCATTTACTTACTGGCTGTGTGATGTTAAGAAAGTGTCTTGCCATCACTGGACCCCAAGTCCTTCATGGGCAGCACGGAAGAACTGTGATTAGGATTTTTAGTGAGATGATGTTGATAAGAAGTTGTGCTGAAGTGGCACGTAGATAAATGAGAACGATGCTACATAGTGACTTCCTCAGTACTAATGACTTCTGGGGCTTGGCAGTGCTTTGTTCTGCAGGGCTTCTGTGTGCAATGTGGGGAGCTTAGCAGCACCCTAGCCTCTGCCTATCACATCCCAGTACCAAGCCCTCCCTGCAAGTTAGGACAACCAGAATGTCTCCAAACATTAAAAATGCCCGCTGGGGTCAGAATCCACCCCTTTCAAGAAAGCTGGCCTAGAGAAGTCCCACTTAGCCTTCTGTGTTCAGCTCTAGAGCCACCCTCTCTGGGTACCTTTTTCTTCCTTGATCTGCCATGCAGAGTCAGTCTGTGCTTCACATTCCAGAGGTCAGCTTCTGGCATGCTGCGTGTCTCTGGTCAAGTCACTTCACTGCTCTAAGCCTCCACTTGTCGCCTGTGACACCAAAAGAATACAACAATCCTGGGAAGGGTGTGGTAAGGGCTAGGAAGTCTTGATCAATAAGTGCCTGGTACTGAGCCTGCACAGTAGCCACGCAGTGGTTTTTCAATATCACAGGCAGTGGAGTAATACAATATAAAAGTGAAAGGCCTCCCAGTCCCACTCCATGGATAATCCTGAATACAAGTAATATATGGTTGTGCATAGTTTCCGTGGCATGTGTGTGTTGATGTCTTTTAGTAAGCCCTGCTGAGCACCTGGAAGAGGCCTACTTTGAAGAGAACAGAGCAAAGGGGAGTGAGGGGACTCCTCTCCGAAGGAGCGTAGGGCTTCTCAACCAGTCTTCGTCGAGCCTGGGACTATGCTGGGCGTTTTCCTTATATTGCCTCATTTAATCTGTCTCGCACTGTGGCCAGGTAGCGATGTTAATTATTCCTTTTGTAAATGAGGACACAGGCTCAGAGGAATTTGGTAACTTGTTTGGTCGCCTAGATGGTAAATAGCAGGGTTAGAATTTGAGGGCACTCTAGCTGGCTCACATACACCTCTGCCCTGCTTCTGAGGACTAGAAAATTCTCTCCACCCTCCCTACCTGACTTTGTTTGAGAGTACTCAGCACAGGACCAGACTGGGGACCGGTCTCTTATGCCCGCTGACGCCTGAAGGGCAGGTGGCTAGGATGTCATCCTGGTCAGGCGTGGCATCCGGCTGTGGCCATCTCAGGTTCCTTGCCCCCAGAGAAGGGATTCAGTTCATCTCAGCCACCCCCTCAGGCCTCATGTGACCACTGGAGCTTTCCCAAAGCCTCCTTCATGCCAGCGGCCTCCTAGGCTGGGCACAGTGAGCCAGAGTAGCCAGGCAGCCCCATGACGAAAGAGCAGGCTTGGGGACAGAGTTCAGATCTCGGCTCTG